TCGGGCAAACAGTTAGCACTGTGAACTATTATTACTAATTATTACTAGATGCTTTTATTATTAAAGGAAAATGATATTTCAAAAAAATAACTGTATGTTAGTCCACCACAAGAGCAATCTGTAAACATTTCTAGCTCATCCCATACTTTTCTAGCTAAACTTGGTTTCAAGTACTTTTAGGTCTGTTACCACCGTAAGTTTATAGGGACCTTGCATATACGCCTCTTTTCACTTGAAATGTGCTCACCATTTATTATATAAAGATGCTGTTTTTTTCTTTATCTATATGGGTATGCTATTTCTATTCAAAATCACAGAAAATTCTATCCCGGTGACGCAATGTCAGCAGTCTTTAACAAAGCAATGGAGTGATGGGGACTTAGACCCGTCAGTCAACCTCTTTTAATTAACACTCTCTGTTAAATTCTCCCTATTCGTTGGCAAGAAAACTAGTGCCCTGGAAAACAGCACATTCTAACGTTTTTACGTAACAGTGCCGGCCGCCTCGTTACCCGCGATCGTGAATCTCAAGAGCTCAAGCACAACGCGGTGACTGTGAAAGACTCTTTAACCCCAGGGCAGAAGTTGTCCCAGGAACGGCCAATATTTGTTTTATTCATCTTTTCAATTTTTCATTAGGTTACTCATTGTTCCAGATGTAACAGGTTTCTGCCCGGGCAGGTGATGGCTCATGATGTCAGGATGACTATCCATTCCACTCACTAGCGCCCCACCCCCCGCCCGGACCCCTGCCACCACTGAGTCAGATAGGGTCCCAACTGTTCTCTCTCCTCAACCCCACCTTAGCAAAATATCTTCCTCCGTGGCACTGAGCTAATTCATGTATTCAAATTATCTCATGAAATATCTGCAGAGAATGTGCTTTGATATTTCGATATTGTCATATTACAGACACAGGCTGCAAGCTAGACTTTTTCATTAGGTCCTCTAAATATTAAAAAAAAAACACACACATAAAAACAACTCTCAGATATCCTTTGTGTGTGCGTGTGTATATGTGTGTGTGAAGAATCTTTTCACTCTCTCTTTCGGGCTTAAAGAGAAGACTACCTTTCATCATGTTAACAAGCTACTAAGGATTCTACCTGTGAACTGAAAATAGATCTTTCTTGTAGGAACTGATCTCAGAGGTGATACCCCCTGATAGTGCTCTTTCTTCACAATAAATTTAATTTTCAACAATGAATAATTTCCCTACTGGTCTGAAACAACAAGTTATCCTATCGGCCTGGCCAACAGACAGCTATGGTGTGTTCTTGAACTCTTCGTCCTTGTCTTAAGTACCTGAGTGGCAGATTGAATGGGCTAAGCTTTCTTTCTGTTTTTTGTTTGTTTGTTTGTTTGTTTGCACAAGTGCTTCAAGTTGAAGCCTCTGTGCCTGCAATGCTGCCCTACCGTTTCCCCTTTCTAGACAATCTCAGAGCTGGGACAAATGCGAGAGGTCACTTAAGCCCAAACCTTATTTCAAACACGAGGCTACTGAAGCCAGGTCGGAGTTTTGTATGGACCATGAGTAGATGTTATGGTATAGATGGAGAGGTGACTGGATGGATGGACAGATGGAAGGATGGATAACAGAGAGGGATATAGGATTAGGTATCAGAGCCTCTTCATTCTATTTCTGGCTTCGTCTAAGACACAATTAGGCCTCAGTGCCCGCTCAGGTCCCTTCTAGCTCTCACAGTCTTTGATGTCATTGAAACAAGAGAAGTTTTCAAAACTATTTGACTTGGTGATGCCGGGGCCATTTTGCCAGAATTACCCTGAATTCACAGGCCATGGTGGCAGAAGGAACATTAGGGGTCTTATTAATCTGCATATCTGAATATCTGACACTGTTTGGGTGTCCTGACTTACATGCAGTGAGCTCTCAGCGCTACATTAGAGAGTGCCTGTGAATTATTCACAACAGCACAGATACCAAAATAACCTAAGTGTCTGTCGACAGCTGAATGGATAAAGAAAATTGTGTGTGTGTGTGTGTTCGTGTGTGTCTCACACAATAGAATATTATTTAGCCATTAAAAAAGAAAGAAATTCTGCTACTTGCAACAACATGGACGGACCTGGAAGGCATTATGCTAAATGAAATGAGTCAGACAGAGAAAGACAACTATCGTATGATCTCACTTATATGTGGAATGCAAAAAACTGAAGTCATAGAAACAGAGAGCCGACTGGTGGTTGCCAGGGACAGGGGTGGGGAAGGGGAAATGGCGAAGGTGGTCAAAGGGTAGACACTTTCAGTTATAAGATGAATATGCTCTGGGATGTGACGTGCAGTTAACACGTATTTGAAAGTTGCTGAAAGAGTCAATCTTAAAAGTTCTCAGCACATGCACACAAGTGTGATGTGACAGATGCCTGAACTAATCTCACTGTGATGATCATCCTGCAATACCCACACATATCAAATCATCATGCTGTAAAGCTTAAACTTACACGTTATGTCAGTTACATCTTAATAAAGCTGGAAAAGATTGTTAGTTTTATCTTTTTTAAAAAACAAAACAGTGGCTGTCAGCAGAGCTTTATCGAAAAGAAGCAGTTCCCAACTTGAATCAAGATAGTCAAATAATAAAAAAACAGCATACTAAATGAGCAGTGGTGGCCCCCTTGCTTCATAGGGCGAACAGAAAAGCCAGCATTATGCAAATCATCCTGGGAGTCTATGTGCTTTTGACTTCTTTCTAGACGTCTCTTGTGAAATGAGAGGCTATCTACCTGGACCTCTGGTGCTTCTTTATATCATACACATACTTATTATTTTAATTTTTCCCTAGACCCCAAATTCCATTTGGCAGAAAAGACTCCATAAAAATGGGTACCCTCTCCGGAGCAAGTCCCTTCTGTCTGTTCAAAGCACCCTTCTCAGAGACAACTGTTTTCTTAAGTTATAAAACAGCAGGAAGCAGAGTACACAGTATGTACAGACCAGCCATTACAATCCCATACTTGTCCCCTCTGACCGCCAGTTCTTAAAAGTCACACTGGCCGCCATTTGTTTTCTGAAGCTCAACCACCTCTTAAAGTTCTTTGAATGTTAACAGCAAATACTGGCAACGGGTCAAAACTGCTCTTTTTTATGCCTGGGAGAATAGCAGAAGTTGAGGCGCGCCAAGGGGTCACATGGTTTAAGCTTCTTCCTTCAGGCAGGTCAGCATCTGAACTGTCCGAAAGATAGCTGTTGCTTCTATTTTTAAAGAGAGAGATTCTGCAGCCTCGCCCTGCCGAGTGAGGCTTTCTAGAAGTTTAACTACCTTCGAAGTCAATTTCCTTGTAACTGCCTGCCCCCCAACCCTGTGCCTTGCTATAAACTGAGCCTGCTTCCTCTCTGGTCCTCCGTGGAGAGCCCAGGGCACCTGCCTGGTGTTTCTGTTTAAAGCAGGGGCACTGTTAGTCTTTCCTACTTGGGAAGCCTAGGAAGCGCTGACAGTCATTCCTGGGTTTGGTCGTGACTGTGTGGTCCCGTGTGTGTGTGTGTGTGTGTGTGTGTGTGTGTGTGTGTGTGGCCTTCTTTTCACACGTAAATTGGCATCGGGGGATGTTACAAAGTCCCAGAGTTTCCTGAGTCTGGGCCGAGCAAGAGGAAGCCGAGAGGGGAAAAGCAAGGTCAGAGGTGGAGGGAGGCACGGAGCGTGGCAAATGGCACCACGGGGATCGTGGACGGAACCCTGTCCTAGGTGGTCATCCCTGGAGGGGGCGGGGTTCTGTGGGCTCTTCCCACTTTGGGGCCTTGGGAGAGCTGAGGCAGCACCTGGGATGGTTCTAGCACGTGACCAACAAGCCACTGGGCTGTGGCCAGGACAGCAGGAAAGATTGCCACAAGCTGGGCTGATCACAGGATGGCAGGTAGAGAGCCGTACCCCTGAGTTCATTCTCTGCGTCATCTCGTTTTATCGTATAAAGAAGTTCTCATTATTATCCCCATTTTGCAGATGAGGAAACTGAGGCTCAGAGAAGCTCCGTGACTTGCTGAAGGCTTACGTGCCTGAACAAGAACTCCACTTGTTTGCCCCCAGAGCCCAGATTCATAACCATGTTGTTTTACAACCTGGTGTCCCTGCATCTCACCTTCCGGGAATAGCCAGAAGCCCTGTTTCTGGACCTCCCTCCCCCTGAGAAGTGAGCATGTTACTTTTCCACCGGGGACCTGACAAGGTCCGGAGGCACACAGACGCTGGGCAGGGGCTCCGGCCAGTTCCTCAGATCCGGGACTGTGACCCAGCCTCCACTCCGGGGAAGGGTGTGGTTTGGAAAAAAGTGTTACTCTTGTGTTTACTCAAAGATAGTCATTAAATCACCATGAAGACATCTTTCTGCAGACTAAACAACCCCACTCCTTTTTTAAAAAGCTTTCCTCATCGGAGCTATTTTTTTGGTACCATCGTTCTATATTTACCGGTTTCCCCCCCAGACACTCTTCTACCCTCCCATTCTCTATTTTAAACGATCCTGTAATAAGATTTTGATCCGTGGCACCGAAAGAAAATGGTCATTTTCATAGATTTCATCTCCAGCCTTAACAAATGAATCGAAGGCCGGAATGGATGGTGATCAGGCCCTGGTGGTCTATTTTGACCCTCAGGCCTGTTTTGGCCACCCCTGGGCCTGGCCAATCTTCCATTCACTGTTCCATTTCTAATCCCTTTGAACTTCACTGCGTATTTGAGGGACTAGCCCCTGGTCTCGTGCAGCTCGAAAGGTTCTAGCTTGCACTCGAGTCAGCCCGATTTCCTTCTGCCCCCTAACAGGAGGCTACACAAAGAGCTCAGTGCTCAGACGCAAGCTCTGAAGAGCGAGAGTGTCAATAATAAAACTCTCTCTCCCTGCGAGGGGCCTGACGTCCTCACCCGTCAGAAGTTTTAGCCACATTTGAGAGATGCCAGTTGAACCCAAGGATTCTGAGACACCACCATCCCTGGTGCCCGAGTGTACCAGCCCAGAGGGTGTGCCAGCCCCAAGGGGGGCCCACTTACTTCGAGGTTCTCGGGGTCCATCCACTGTGATTTTGATGGCTCTGTGGTAAGTGGCAACTTGCGGGGGGTTTGTGAAGACAGTGATCGTCAGAGTGAAGCTTTTTCCTGTGGGAACACAAAAGAGAACACGAAAGAATGAGGTGATGGCCTGAATATATCTGCTGACTGTAAATTTACGCTTTCCTGCCCTCGAACTGGAAAGGACGGATGGTCTTCAGCACAAGTTACTGGTTTTACCTGTACGCCCTTGAGTTTGGCTTTGCTTAAATTCTGAAGTGCACACCTATGATGCTTGTCTAGAAGGGACATGTCACCATCACGTAGTTATATGGCTTCTGTTTAATCATCAATGAATAACACAGGATCAGGAGAGATTTGGATTTACTTTCTTTCAAGTCAAGACCCCAGGGGACATAGGATCAGATCGGCAGCTGTCCACTCCTTCCCCCACTGCTGACTTCTCTCTTCATAAACTCAGGCCGAAAGGGAATAAAAGCAACCATATCCAGCTTGCCCCTCTGATGTTGTTTGTACCTCCAAGGGTTAAGAGACAGAATTCCTAAATTTGAGGATAAGCTACATTAAAATTATTCTTTCTGTATTTCAAAAATACTGATTGCTGGTTGATTTTAAATATTTATTTTTTAAAATGTTAGATGTTATTAGAGATACTCATGAGATTAGCCAGAAAAAATTAATTTATAGTCAATACATGGGCTTAAGGGTATATAACTGACAGATTGAGATTCAGTAAATACTATAATTATATATATGCACATGAATTTCCATCTAGACCTTTTTCTTATACTTATGAAATGTGAACATGTCTTCATTGTATATATCTTATGCAATGCTTTTAATAACTTTTAAAAAGTTATTTTAATATTATTTTAACTTTATAATTATAATATGATCACTAATATAAATTATGTAATATAAATCTATTATCAATTTAATTATGAATATGCAAATATATTAGTAAGTGAAAATATTTTTTCTTGGCCAAGTGGTTCAGAGGATGAATTCTGGCCAGCTGACCTTCGGCAAGGCACCAGCCCTGTGTGCCTCAGTGCCCTCACCTGGGAGATGGGTACATATAACATTTCCTACCTTATAGAATTGGGGGAGGTTAAATGAGTTAATAGCACTAAAATCATTAAAACTGTATCTGTTGCACGGTATTGGAAGGCGTGTGAGTGTGTCGTTGCTCATTTTTATTATTTTCTCTTCTGTTCCTCGTAGTCCATAACAGGATCCTAAGCTTGCCTAAGCATGATGTTCAGACCTCTGACACCAATATAATAGTTATCCAGAAAACAGGCTTTCTCCTCTTAATCACACAGTATGAAATGAAACTCCGAAGAAACGAGAGGAAAATCAACCATGCCCACCCATTCCCCCAGCTGCTTCCAAAACCACTTCAAAAATTAAATCGTCCTCCTTCCCCAAGTTAGAAAGAGCATCATATTTTTAGCAGTCATGCATGTTTTGATACCAAAGAAGGACACAGAAATTGACAGTATAACCTTTGGCTACAGGAAGCCAGTGATTTCTAATCACGAAAAACCCCACCCAACAATCCCCAAGGATTTGATATTCTGTCTACTGAAAGTTTATGATAAGACCAATCCCAAGTGATGGTCGGATGACAAAACCTGCTCCGTCCCATGTGGCTTTCTAACCCAGGTCACGGCCAACCTAACGGGGGCGAGGGGCGCTCCACGGGCCAGCGTGCTGGAGGAGCCCCGGAGGCCTTGCACCCAGGTTTACCGTCGCCATCAGCTTCCCTCCTGGAACCTGCAGAAGAATCCTTTTGGCCTTGGGGATTGGCCATCTTTAGAGCATCCTTCAAATGTCATCAGGTGACAGCCCGGATTGTTTTCTACCCTGGCATCTAGCTGACGTAGAGGGATGGGTGGGACAGGCGGCCGGCCAGGCCCAGTGAGGAGGGCTCAGCGAGGAGGCAAACGCCCAGATCCACTGCCCATCTTAGTCTCCGGTTTTCTAAGAACTGGTCAGAGGAGCAAAGCAGCCGCAGCCCGGGGTGCGGCCCCGCCCACGCCTTCCTCTGAGCATTTCGTCAGTCTGTCCCTTTTCCGTCAAGCACCTTCCAGAATTATTGCCTGTCTCATCAATATTGAATTCCACAGCCAGCTTTTAGGATTTTCTCACTACCAAGTCCCCTCCCCCCACTCCCCACTCCAGCCAGGCCCATCACTTCCGAGTTTCTCTTGCAAGCCATGGCATTTCTGCTTTGGGGTCTTTCGTCCTCCAGCCACTTGGCCAGCCACCCAGGCTCCTGGCTCCAGCCCTCGCCTCGGTCTTCCTGGCTTCCGAGTTGGGTACCAGTCACTCACGTTCCAGGTGGCCTTCCTTGACCGCGACAATTTGCCGTGTGGCTGTTTTGGGGCTGCCTTATAAAGCATTCTTCACTTTTGATTGATCAGGGTGTTGGATCGAATGGGGTTTGTGGCTACAAAGGCCGGAGGTCAGGGGTCGTGTTCTGTACCCACCGGGTACCCTCACGGGAAGGCGAGGAAGGAGGGGGACTCAAGGTAGAGGGGAGAAATGGGAAAATAAAAGGAAAAGGGACCCTAAAGACACAGCAATGAATAATGACACCGCTGCAGTGACTGGGCAGGTGTGTGTGTGTGTGTGTGTGTGTGTGTGTGTGCGCGCGCGCATGCACGCACGTGCGTGTATGGGGTGTAGGGGTGTGGTGAGGGGAGCTCATCTGCAAGAGAGTTAGATTTGAGTTTGTGTACTAGTGATTTGACCTCTCCACGTCTCAGATTCCTGGTCTGCAAAATAAAGGGGTTCATGGGATACATCCAATGTCACTTTCAACTCTGATTTTATCTCTGACCGTGCAGCCCCCTGGGGGCCCGTCACCCTGGGTAGGCACATGCACGCCCCCTGTGCTTCCTCCATTGCCTGTCACCTGCTACTGCAGCATTTCAAAGATTCCGTGATAATACTGTATTAGTTTCCTGGGGCTGCTGTAACAAATTACCCCAAACTGGGTGGCTTAAAACAACTGAAATTTATTGTCTCACAGTTCTGGAAGCCAGACGTCCAAGATCAAGGTGACGGCAGGGCCCTGCTTCCCCCAAGGCTCTGTGAAAGAGTCCTTCCTTCCCTGCCTTGCCCCTCTTTCCGGTGGCTGCTGGTGGTCCTTGGCGTTCCTCGGCTTGTAGAAGCATCACCCTAACTAACGCCTCTGTCATTACGTGTCCTCTTCCTCTGTTATCTTCTGTCTCCACACCTCCACTGGTCATTAAACCAGTAGGATCTCACCATAACTTGATTACATCTGCAAAGCCCCTAAATAAGGTCACATTCTGAGGTTGATGGTGGATACGAATTCTCAGGGAACACTATTTTACCCACTACGAATATCGAATGTTTTAAGAGTTCTGGTCTTCGCACTACAAGTGACAACTGCTCTACAGGCACCTGCGCGTTTTGCCTACTGAAATGGTCCCACACCTGTGGCAGCCTTCCCACGATGCTTGCTTTGCTAAATGACATCAAAGAATCATTGTCTTCATAACATTAGCATTTGGGGGTCTGTAGAACTTACAACTTTTCAAACACTTTCCCGAATACTATTTATTTTGTCCTCACTACATTCTCACGAAATAAACAAGATAGATTTTATTGTCCTCGATTAATAGGTAGCAAAGCCAAGGCTCAGAGAGGTTAAGTAATTTGCCCAAAGTCGCACAGTTTGTGTACACAGCAGAACCCTAATCTGCCAGCTTTACGCTCACTGTTCTTCACATTATTGTCACGAGGTCCTAAATCTCTTATTTGCAAAGTCGGCGGCATCAGCACCAGGAAGATGGATGTATAGTTCTTTTTTACACACTCTACCACTGCCCAAAAAAGTGATAATAGTCCCTATGACTCTAATGTACCCAAAACTGTATTTGACAGCTAATTGAAAGCCTGGATTATAGTTCAAAAGCAGTTTCTTCCTGAGCTGAAGCTGGACTCCTGGCAGTCGAGTGCTTAATGATGCCCCCTGGTTAACCACAGACGGGCCGACTTAATCGGGAGTGAAATTCAACCAAAGTGAATATTTGTGAAATCGCTGCTCATAATTAAAGTTCTATTATTTCGTGCCCATCATTTTATGGGCAGTCACAAGTAGTGTCTGTCTGGCAAAAGCTACTAGGCGGGGCATTTTGGCCACAGTAGCGTGGCTCATGAAGGTAGAGATATTCTGGTAGTTTCCCTCACAATGAGCTCTTGTTTACAGCTCTGACCAGGCCGTCTGCCTATTGCCTCACAGACAGAGGTAATGAGTGATGACACTGTGCTCACAGGTGTGTGTGTGTGTGTGTGTGTGTGACAATTTTCCACTCTGGGAAAACTATGTCTTCCATTTCCTTGAGTCCTTCCGACCAGACCTGGCACTGAACCTGACAACTAGGGACAGCCAGCCAGTGTGCACATCTGACTGCCGTTCTGTGCTTCGGGACCCACCGTCCTCTGTCCCTGCCACGCCCTGGCCCAACCCTGCTGAGACAAAGCCCTTCTTGGCTGACACCTGCAGAAATGGTAGCTGTACCCTGGAGCTCACATGTTATTAGCCAAATTCTCTCATTCAAATGACCTATGGGCCTGGTATTTTAAGTGCGTGGGTGTGGAGAGCGAAAGGTTCTCAAGTGTTTTTCTCAGCAAGTTGTAGCCAGACTATGAAGAAGCCAGGGGAGAGGAACGGAACACAGATCGGCTAAATAACAACCCCCGCCCCCCAGATTGGCTCTGCAGGACCCAATGCAGGGGTGGAAGATGGGGCTGCCAGAGAGAGAACTGATATTCATCTTGGAGCCTGAGCGAGTCCCTGGCGGGAAAGGCTCCAGGGCTCCCTACGGCCCTGGCTTTGGCCCCATGAGACAAGCAGAGGCTTTGGCTGGCGCATGGATGACCCTGGGTGTGCTCCCGCGGGACCCAGCCGCAGGGTCACAGGCGCCTTGCCTGGGGATTCGCAGCAAAGGGAGCTGAGGGAAGAGGGCATTGACACAGACCTTCCTTCTCACTGGTGCTGGCTGGTGCTTGGCTTCCCGGAGGGGCACTATTTAGAAGCACAAACACTA